CTATAAAAACTGATCCATATCCTCTGTTGGATCGCAAGATATAGAATATGTAGGCTACATACGTTGATACAATTGTCCAACATTGAAAACAATGCAGGGGTATAACAATATATCGTGTCACAATATATTGTAATACTAAAATGCAAATGTATTGTGGATTGCAATAAGTTGCATTTGTGAGAAAATCAAGCCAAGTTTCCTCATAAAAAGCCAAATGAGTCTCACAGATAGTAGTAGACAGTAACACACAATACATATAGTTGTCCATATCTCTGCATTTTCTCTCAAATAGAGTTTTGTATTTGCAAATCACTTTGCTTTGTTTGAAAGTCAAGTTTGTCTTTGCAAAGCAGATGTGTTTATTTGCAAAACGCTGGATTTGTTTGATGAATATTGGCACAAAATTCACTCCATATTGATGGTCTGGAGTCATGTGGATTACTTGTGGATTATTGTGATGTCTTTTCAGCTGTTTGAACTGATGGCACCCATTTACTTCCACTTTTGGTGAGCAAGTGATGTAATGCTACATTTCTCCAAAACTGTTCCTATATAGAAACAAGCTCATCTACATCTTGGATGGTCTGAAGGATGAGTAAAGTTTCAGCAAATGTTAATTTTTGGGTGAACTATTCCTTTATGAATTTACCATTGTCAGTCTCCAAACACAGCAGTGGGTTATCTGAACGAATCGGTATTTTTGAACAAATCATTTAAATGAATGATTCAGTGACTCACTCATAAAGAAAGTAACATGTTGCCACCTTCTGGTGTAACAATGTAATGTTCAGAAAGGACTAATGCACTGGAACCCAATGGGCCTCATTTATCAATCTAACATAGAAACGAGCGCTTCAGTCATTTTTGACCAAAACATTTTACGTTTTGCTTTACGTTTTGTTTTTTAGATTTTTTTACTTCATCGGAATGGTGTGAAACTTGGTAAAGGTTTTGGCACTTGCTATGTGAACACACACAAACACAAATTTTATGGACATGATTCGAAAAGGTTAAATAGTCCTGAAAAAAAAAATAGTCACACTTAGTCATACTCCTTGTGACCACATTGGAAATGAATGGGGGGAAAAAAATTGTATAGCTGAAATGTGTGGTACTGCGCCCAAACAAAACCTTACCGAAAGCTCATTTTTGGAGATATCAACCTTAAATTTGGAACACAACTTTCTAGATTTATGGCTTTGTTTTTCTTGCAGTTTAAGAATAAAACATGTTTTTTTTTAAATATATTTTTCATATAAAATTTGAAAATAGTATTATTAATTATTAACATTAAGCATAAATAATAAATATAAATAGTATTGCTTGCCAGAACTTTTATCTATATCCCAAGCATTACTAAGCAGTTCCCACACTTCAGCATTAGATGATGGCCATGTTCCTTTTGGGAGGAGATTAACATTTCTGCAAATGCTGCAGACACCCAGTGAGCGACTAACCCGATGGCGGACAATGTATGAGCTGTGGAGGGATTAGTGTGTCTGCATCGCACCGTTTATACCACCCTGCCTTTTCAGACTAAGTGTGCAGAAATGTCGAATCAGTCAAGATGGAATGTTGCCCAGCCATAAGAGAGCTGTAGGATCAGGTCAAACTCCTGGTGCCAGGCTGTATCGCGTTCTGCAGCCTTAAAAGGCCACTTTGGTTTGATTTCAGAGCCGATTTGATTTGACTTTCAGACGGCACGTCTCTCTCATACACTTCACGCTGTTGCCATTATTGGTTTCTTGGTTTGAAAGGAGAGGAGGATGGATGGGCTTTTATGTCCTTTATATATTTCAGTGATACTATTGTAATGCAGCAAGAAAGTCGATCAACGCAAAGTATACATATAAACCAGATTTCTTGGTAAATGTAAACGGGTAAATGCATGAAAACTGAGTTCAGGAATTCCTAAGTTTATTGCATTTTTTTCATCAACATAGTGGTTTGTTTGCTCTGATGTATTGCAATGATGAAAAGATCTCATATGGAGATGACGAGAAAAAGAAAACCAAACAAATTAATGCCTGTTTATAATATAAATGATTCTGTCTTTCATCAGTAACACATGCACAAAGAGTGTGTGTCAATGACTACCATATGAAGAAAACCATACAGGCACAACTTCAGAAAGCACATCGTGGATGCACTGAGAAGCCCAAGAACCGAGGTGTCACTTCACAATTTGGGAGTTCGTCAGTGAAACATAAGAGATGGATGAAATGAGCTTTTACAAGAACAAAAGAAAAGTTTAGTGGTGAAGACAGAAGGCAATCATGCACAGCACTGAATATCCTTGTGAAAAGACAGGAAGGATGGAACCGTTTTGACGGTATTTTGGAGCATCTGTTGTGCTCCAAAAAAAGCAAGAAAAAAAAGCACAGTTTTAACTAGTCAAAATAACACACCACATACATCCTATACATTTGGAAATACAACGAAACATATATTTGGAAGGATTGACAGTATCTAAAATGTTAAAATGTTTAAGTATTAAAACACAAACAGACACACACATTATAGGGTATGTAATTCAAATAAATGCTGTTTTTAACTTTTTTCATCAAAAAAAAAAAAAAAAAACTGAAAAATCCCTCAAAAATAATAAGCAGCTTAATTGTTTCAAAATTAATAATGAAATAATGAAATGCTACACTGAATCAGCATATTAGAATTTCTGATGGATGTTGAAAATTCTGCTTGGGCACCACAAATTGTTCTAAATTACATTTTATACAATGTTAAAATAGAAAATAGTTATTTTAAGAGTAGTGATTATATTTCATAATTTTACTATTTTAATTTTTTATTAAATAAATGCAGCACGTGTTCATAAAAGACTTCTAGCTACAATATAATATTATATTGATCTTTTTATTCAAAATTTAAATTCCTTTCAACGTTAAGACAAGCACAAGAAATCATATAGAACAGAATAAAACTTGAGTAAATGTGTTAAATAAATATGATTTATAATTTTAAATTTACTTAAATTAATCTCTCTGATTAAATGCAATAAAATCGACCTAATAATTCCATGAATTCAATGTTCTATAAGCCATTAAAGGATTTATAAACATTTGTAAGTTGTTCATGTAAAATTGACTTTATTTCTGGTGTCATTTGAAATCAATTACTTAATGTGAATGAAAAGACAACAATGATCTATACGCACATACTGTAATTCTGAGAAGCAGTGTGTATTTACATATAATACATATTGAATCATGTATGTTTGAGTCACAGGTTCGTGACAGACTGACGGTCTGTCTCTCTCTATGGACATTGTTACAACATTTCACACGGTTCTTTCTCTCCCTGGACCAACCAGAAATGTTTAATCCATTAACCAGCGACAACACGGCATTGTACTTTATTTTATTTCTTACTCTGGCCTATTATTCATTTCCCTCTTTTAGCCAAAGGATTATGATGATGTTTTTTGTTTTCCATTTTTTAAGCCATGACAGATTTGAAGAACATCCATATGTTTTATTTTGACGTTCACATCCTGCTGCTCCGAACGGTTAGATGCTGGAGTCATAAACCTATCATTAAACATCATTAATCCCCAGGTCCCTTGTTAAACCGGCCATTCTGCAGTCTACCCTGGAGGTATTACAACAACCTTAACTACCATTGGCTGATGGACTTCAGCAAAAATTATTACCTTAATAAAGTCTATTTTATAATATTTGCATGCACAAGCATCTTCTATCTGACACTGCAAAGGCTGTCTGGCTCATTTTAAGTGCTCCCTTGGGGAAGTTTCTTGGCAGGCTAAGTGATGTGTGGCACTCCCATTTGGAGAGGGACTGCAGTGATGCTGTTTGAGTAAATATGGGCTTTTAACTCTGTTCCAAGTCATCTCATTGCATTTTAGGTTAAAGTCCATGTCATTGCCTTCTCTATCCTTGCCTTCTCCACCACACTCGCTCTACTCTTTTAGCTGGAAATATGAAAATAATACTGCAACGCCGTCTCATGCTGCAGACCTCCAGAGACCAAATACAGCTGGAGGCGTCTGCAATCACCAAATTTAAGAAGCGTGTTGTAAATTTAATTAACGATCACAGCAAAGCTAGTAAAATTCAATGTCCAAGAACACTGTTTATGGGTATTTAACTTTTACATTTAATAGCAGTGATGGTGGGAGCTGGGAATGCTTTTTGATTTGGCATGGAAAGTGTGAAGAATCCTGCTGATACTTGCACCACAGTTTAACAACACACTTTCAGTTCACACCAAAATAAAAAAAGTGAAAAGATCACTTTTGCAACAGTTGGTTTTGTTGAGGTTTAAAGTGAATATAATTTGTAAAGGGAATGATATAGGGGATGTTACATTAAAGGGTCAGACCCTTTAATTTACTCCCTCTCATGCCATTCAAAATGTTCTGAATATTTTTTTATGTGTAAATATTTTTTATGTATATGTTATATATATTTTTTCCACTGACTTCATATGGACATCAATGGGACCTAAAATTCTTTGGTTACCCACATTCTTTAAAATAACTTGCAGAAAGAAATACATAAAGGAATGACACGAGGGAGAGTTAATGATGACAGAATTTTCATTTTTGGTTAGACTATCCCTTTAGGTATAAGCCACTGGTGAAAATAAAAAGAAAAAATTGCAACTAAAATACAGCTGAAGAAAATGGCAAATGCAAAATTACATCAGATAATAAAATGTCCATCTTAAAGATCACGGGTCTGCACAAGACAACCGCACAGTCAATACTAAATCATTCCATGTGAGAACGACAAATTGTACAAGACACATGATAGTTGCTCTGACCATTATAGAGATTTGCTTTCTGTTCCCTACTAAGAAAGAGGGGTGTCTGAATGGATACCAAGCAGACGCTAGGCCATAAACTTCACAAGTCCTTCCCAAATGAAAACCAAAGGTCATAAATCTCATCTCAGTAAATGCTGTATGTGCCTTTTTAAATCGCTCGTCAAAATATTACAAGATTTAACTGACAGCCAGACACCCAGGAATGGAACGCAATAGTTAGGGGGCAACGGGTCTAGTCACAGTCTAGTCACTAGTCAAACTCTTTAAAAAAAATTCAGAAAGGGAGTTTTCACAGCAGTGCCATAAAAGAACCATTTTGGGTTTCCAAAAGAACCTTTTTTCTTAACATTTTCATAATCTGAAGAACCCTTTCATGAATGCTAAAGATTTATGGAACCAAAGATTCCAACAAATAACATTTACTCTGTAGTTAAAGAGATGCAGTTTTGGGCATGTTGTCACATTTTTTAGCAATATTTTAACAGTAAAACAATTATGAAAAACAGAACAATTCATAAAATGGTAACGACAAATATGAAACTATTGTTTTGCCCAACTGCAATGAACAAATTACATAAATTTATAACATTTGAAATATATATACCCTGACTCTAGCGTAGTTTTACTTGACCTTTTTACGTTTTACTGAGATAACTTATCTTGTCACATCTTCCCCATGTGACAACTAGCCCCAGCCTCCCCTATGTGGAATTGTATCTGATATAAAGTAGCTCTCAGACAGGATTTATTCCCTTGAATGAACCCCCACTCCAGAAAACCCTTTTCCCACCATTTCTTTAGTGCTAATGCTTTCTTTAATGTCTTGCGTCCACTGTGAATTCTTCACCCTTATTGAAGACACTTATTATACTCTTCTATATGAGCGAGACCACCACTGCTTTCCTTTCTCCTCTGTGTTCATGGGGAGTGCTGGATTAAAATCCTAGGGGGTGGATTATGGCAATAACCATTTATTAATTTCTACAGGCTCAAAGGTACAGTATGATCTGTGAGAAAAAGAACAGGACAATAGAACTCCTTCATCTCCTGGTGTCTGCAAGAGTCATTGCCGTGTGTTACTTTACAAAGCGCCAGTGAAAAGAAACAGATGCTGTGTGTATCTGATACTTTTAAAAACAGTGTAAATCATCGCTACCACCGAGTACATTTTTAAGATGATCAATGGTACCTATACTCAAAGCTTTTCAAGTTCCCCTGAGAACAAAGGCTTAAAGATCAGGTTTAAAGATAAAACTTCATAAGCAATTCAGAACAGAAGAATTACAACGGTTTCAGAAACATGTAGATTAATCACGCAGCGATATCTGGACAAAACGTTAACAATAAATAAGGACTGCTATATATTGAACATGGAATTATTTGCAGTAAGACAACCTATTGCCAATGTTAACATACGTTGTCCAGGAAATATCATAAAACACACACACTTAAAGTCAAGAAGATAGCACAATATTGGAGGGCTGTATAGAGGTCCGCAACTACACTGCAAACATATTTAATCAGAAACAAAGCTGTAGTCCATATCAAAGCTTTTCCAAACCCCTAAACCTAATTATTAAAAATATTAATGATACCTCAAATAATGTGAGTTGTTTAGTGTACTTTTCCACGCAACTGGATTTGGCCTGGTGGATGAAAAAATGAGCAAAATATCCTCCTAAACAACCACTCAAGAAACAGAAACAGCCTAGCTATTGATGGACAGTAACATTAACGCTAAATGTATTGAATATATTTGTTTAAGTACAATTCACAATAGCGAGTTAGTAGCAATGCTATTTTTCAAATTATGTGTCTTTTACATTACATCAGTAGTGTATACTGCTTAAATGTTTGGGGTTAGTAACATTTTTTGAAAGAAATTAATCATTTTATTCAGCAGCGATGCATTAAATTGATCAGTCAAGACATTTATATTGTTAATTCTATTTCAAATAAATACTTTTTTATTTCAATAAATGCAAACTGTGTTAATTTTTCTTGACAATATTTTAGCAATAATGATGTATGTATGGAATCAGAACAAGCTGAAGTTCTGGAATAATTGACTCTTCTAATTCGGTTCTTTTCAAAGAATTGGTCAAAAAAGGCCTGAATCATCAAAATTTACTAAATGAAATTGGTTCCTTTGTAAATTACCTACTACTCTGAATCAGTTGGAAGGATCCTGTTTCGTTTTGACAGCATGCATGTTTAAGCTTGCTGGCAGATAACATTACAAGTCTCACTTTCATAACCACCCTTTTTCTTACATCAGTAACATTTTATGGAAACTCTCATGTTGCTGTTAGCGGTGTTTTGTTTTTATGTGTTTTGTATGCAGTATTTGTATGTTGGAGGTTAGTAACATTTTGTGTCTCACTTTTGAAACCACTTACTTGGCCAATGACAACATGGAAGATGGTTGAGATTGGTGAGCTGTGTGTACAACAACTGCTGCATGGATGCTTATTAATTACAGCTTCTTAGGAGGTTGTCACAGTCCTGGCAGCGTCATGCTGTTGGGATATTTCTCTGCAGCAGGCCCTGAAATGAATTTGGACGAATTTATAGAAATTGGTTTTCACTTCAACAGGATTAAACTAATTGAGATATAATTACATGTAATTTACTAATAAAATAAATTGCAATCACCATCTCACACACAAAAAAATCGTTTTTATATCTTGCTCCAAATTTAAAGAAATTGCAATATTGTAAAAGATCAAGGCAACCCAAAATACTTGACATTAAACCTACCTGTTAGCAGATTTTACACTAAATGTAGACGGGTCAAAGTTTTCCTGGTAACTGGTTAGACTAGAGCAATCGGCAGGAACTGATGTTTATGGCCCCCTGTTGGATTGTGAGGAAATGGAAAGTGCTTTATGACTGATGTCAGCTTCATATGCAGTCAGGTCAGGTCAACTCTTAGCTGCTGTGAATGGGCCATAAAATACTGAATACTGATTTCAGAATTGCACAGCACACAATTATTTCGATTTCCTTCACAGAGTCTCAATGAACATTAGATTAAAAAAATTAAAACTAAAATAAAAATAGGAAATCAATTGATTTTAAATGATATAATTATAAGTTACAGTTGCAGAGGGACAAAAATATCCAGAAAAGCTCATTTTAAATTCTTTCCTTTACATACTGATCCCTCTCGGTACACTCTACAAAATGCTGGGTTGTTTCAACCCAACTTTGGGTCAAATATGGACTAACCCAACCGTTGGGTTAAATTTTTACATTAAATTTTTAACCCAAAAGTTGGGTTAGTCCATATTTGACCCAAAGCTGGGTTGAAACAACCCAGCATTTTTTAGAGTGTAGCAATAAACAGACAGGAAATGGCTCTCAATTACCTAAATTAAAATGGCAACACCTAATCCTTGTTTAAACTCACATATATGGGAGAAAGGAGGGAAGCTTTTTCTGTGGGCTAACTGTTTTTCAGTGGAAACTTTTGATAAAACGTTTATCCTAGGAAAAACTTTTAGTATGATTCCATGTCATGCAAGATTGGTTTATATGAGGCCAGATCTGGTGTAAACAATACATATTTTCTTTTATATTGGTAGCTCAGCCAAAACTCATAAGAAAACTCTCCTGCTCTTTATTAGACTATGGCACGCACTCTAAACTTTGTCCTGACAAGCAATCCAAGGATTGGTCAAGCAGAAGACAAGCTAAAACAATTGAGGAAATCTAGATGACTTAGAGATCATCATGATATATGTAAGTTGGTGGTTAAAAAAAAAAACATAGCTTGCTAACACAAACATTGCAGGCTCAGCCCCAAACCAGAGTGGGCCAGGACAACACACTCTCTTGGTAATTTGAAATTATTTTAAACTATAAAACCTACTTTTGATAAATTGGTGAATTTGTACAATCTGCTTATGCCCCATTGAGGTATTTGATTAGGTTGGATTTGGGTTGTATCTTTTTTGCTCTAAAATTTGTACGTTTTTATACAAAATCAATTCATACAAATTCATAATAGTTACATTTTCTCATTAGATCAGGATAATTTGTAAAAATTTGTGAAAAGCTTCCACTAAATGGCAAGTAGCTGGTTGTGCACTAATACAATCAAGCATTGGTAAAGTTTTAAAAAAACTGATAGTCAATACATATTTGGAAGTGTATACTGGAAAAGAGCTGGGAAAAATGCTAACTTTTTTTTTTGCAAATTCTTAGTTTTGCATTTAGTTCGTTATTTAATTGTTTTATTAAAATCTTAACCTACACATTTGTGTATATTGCCAAGGGTGAATAATATTTGAGTACAGTGCTTTCCATCAATCTTAACAACAGTTGAAACGTTTAAAGTGTAGCTGACAAGAGTTAATGAATTAATTAACCTACCTCAACATTTCCATCACAGATTGAGTAGGCCTATGAGTACAGTGGTGGTCACTTATGAAATAAACATGGACATTCTTGCACTTGTTTTAACTCACAAGCCACAGTTGACACTATCTAGCATAACCATCCTAATAATCTGCCCAGTTTTACACAAAACTATCTTAGACCTTAAGAAACTCTCCACGCCTTTAGTCAAGGGCGGCACTGAACTGCGCTGGAGTAACTAACTGAATTTCGCTTACTTAATTAAATTTTTCAGCTGTGCTAACAGTAGTTCAGCAGTTCACTAACGAGCTGTTTTTACCAACAAACAGCGACCAAACTCTACATCGCTATTTCTGTCTGGTTTTTTTTTTTATCTTATCCTGAACAAATCTTCTTCTTCTTCTTCTTCTTGTTTTATGGCGGGTGCTGAAAAAATCTTGAAGTCACTAATCACTAATAAATCGTCCGAGTAGTCGGTCATGGTTCACTCTGTTGAAAAGTCCAGTTCGTTCTAGTGAATCCGGCTGTTTTTTTTTTTTTTACTTATTTATTTATTTTTTGGTTCATCCTAAATAGTCTCCTCTATAGCCTTAGAAAGTCATCCGATTAATTCGTGAACCTCATTCAGAGTGAACCGGTTCTTCGTAAAAGGTCCACTCTCTCGAGTAGCGTGGTCTGATTCATCGTAGTGAATCGGTTCGTTCGGACTGTTCACACATACATGAACAGATTAAAACCTGACTAAATCATGATGGTCTACTGTGTTTGCGACTTAATTTGACTTATATTGTTGTTAAATGTTTCTACAGTCACTCTAATCTTCAGAACAGCAACTTTAAATTATGATTAGCCTAATGTATGTCTTGGCAAGCTGCAGTTTCATAGTAGCTTTCTCATCACTGAGAAATGCGGTGGGTTTTCCTGATTAGCCATAGATATGACGTAATTCGCCAGTCATTCATCAGAATTTGGCTACTTGTAGCCTACTCTTTTGTGTCACTACTTTGTGTGATTTGTTGCCTATATAGCTTATCCACAATAATATTGGTGCTGTTGTAACATGAAAAAATATTTTGCAGTGCTTCTGTTATTGGATGTAGCCTATGTATTTCTGAAAGAGTATAGTAAAGAATGAGCTATTTTCGTTGATATCAAATGATAGCGTGACTTCCCAGCAGTAAGCATATGCAGGCTAATAGCTCACTGGCAGGTAGCCTAAAGTTCCTTTATTTACTAAATGATTTGACAGAGTTTATAATGTCAGCCTTGTAACATGCTGATTATGCTGTTTAATGTGATGCTCTGGATGTTGTCCATGTGTTCTGGGCATAGAACCATCATCAGGTGCCACCCAGAAATAAAAGCTAGAATGCGACTATGTAATGGTAACATCAATGTTATTTGTTTATGTTATAAACAGTGTGCCTTTGGGAACAAAAGATCAAGATATTTATATACTGCAAATGTGCAAAATCAAATAACTTTGGAAAGATTTTAAATAAAGAGGTTGTTTAATGCATACATGCGATACATAAGTAGAGGAGGATAAATCACACCAAGTAAAATAATATGACCTCTTGTGCTAAAAGTCTCCATATGCAGTTAGAGTTCAGAAAAAATATTAAGCATAAAACGGAGTCATGAAAGTATTTCTTAAGAATCAAGTAAACATTTAGCCCACATTTTCCACCTTGTTTTTCTGGCCTTTCACCTGGGCTGCGTTCAGCCCCGACAAAAACGGTGCAAAATGTTTTTTAAACGGAAACGGTGATGCGTTGAACACTCTGTTCTGATGACGCAAGAGTTGCAACTATGGCAGCTGAGAAGGCCATTCTTTGTGTTTTTTCGGAGCCTGATGAAATCGGTATAAATACGTGTTTAATACTGCAAAATACGCTCGATGTTACAGTCACTGCCCTTGTCCTCCAGAATAAAAGAGAACATCCCAATCCAGTGAAGGGATTTGTGGAAACTGTTGTTCTTAATTATTGTGATCCAACATTTGCTCGCATTTCAGGATGAAAAGACAAACA